CGATGACAATGTTTAACTTTGATCAATCCAAGGATTTTGTGCAACCTCATTCATTGTCTTCGATAGTTATTGCCTGCACTCAATAGGATTAAACTACACTGGTCAGGACTTCCCGAACTGATCAAAAGTTAGACAATAACACTGTTGGATGCTAGCTTAGTGCTTTAAGGTTTAAGCGTTCACGTATGAGATCGAAGGGGCAGTATATTAGTATTTGTTGTATACCAATTAGATGACTAGTACAATTTATCCTTTCTTTCTCATTAAGTTCAGTCGTATGTTAAGTGTTTTATAATCAGTAGCCTATTATAAGTAAGAACATTTGTTTCCTGTTACATACTACTCCCTGATCTTTGTGGTTCTTAACTTTCACATTGGTTGATCATACTGAAAAAGTATAAATTGAATCAGTCTGAAATTCATGCTCATAACAGTTTTGCTTGTCCTAAATTTTTATCTTTCAATGCAATGCCCCGTAACGTTTAGCAGTGAACATGGGCAGTTTTTTTTGAGAACAGAGTTATTATTCTGTGTTCAACAACAATAAGAAACGATCATAGTCAAAATAGTATTACTCTGCTGTTTAGTGTAAATCTAAAAACTTTCACCAGTATACAGATGTAAACCACAAGTATAATGTAAATTATAACCGTTAAGTCTTTTGAAACATATGGTACGGGACTCATCAGTTGCAGTGCGCATCCACGGCTCCTGCACCCCGCAGGATTCGAACCCGTGACCTTCTGTATTGTGCGCGAACGCCTAACCATCGGACCACTGGGCCGGCATTTATTTATTTTTGTCAAGAACCATTATTATATAAAATTGTCTTTGTGAAAATGGTAACAGTTATCTGTTGAAGTTTTCGATTGCTCACGGTGTAGTGAAGGAGAACACAGGTCAGTCAGTCAGATGCAACGTAGAACTTCGTAAGTAAGTACATCAGTTCATGTTGCCATACCAAATCAGCACAGAGATATAATTGTCAATTCAAATCCAATAGTAGAAGAGGTAGTAAGGGAATTAGAAATAATCGGAGAGGTTAGGAATAGAAGATACTATTCAAGAAGTATGATTCAGTGAGATAAGTTTAGAGAGTCGAAACTAGAGGGGTTGAAGAATCCAGAAGATTAGGATTTGAGAGAACACAGAGAATAAATGCACCGGCGCCATTGCGAACGATTTTGAGCCATGTCATTCAAGGTCTCTAACCATCGATTATTATCATCTCGTGGACCCCAACCAGGTAGTCGACAATTACCAACATGGCTAAGTCCACTCGTCAATGACTTCATGGATTTCTGCCATGTTTTGGTTTGGCCGCACCTAACTTTCTTCCAACCTATTCCTACACTACAAAACAAGGCTCGACGAGGCAGTCGGTGGTTGGGCATACGCAACACATGTCCCAACCACCTCAACTGATGAAGTTTCACCACTTCATCTATTGATCTGCCATTCTTACCTAGCACCCGATTCCTAATAACAGCGTTGCTCACTCGGGTGTCCCACGATACTCGAGCAATGCTTCGAAGACACCTATGATCGAAAACCAGTAACCGACGAATATCTTCTACTCTCACTGGCCATGTTTCACAGCCATAAAGTAAGACAGAGCGAACCACTGCGCAGTACACTCGTCCTTTAGTCAGCAAACGGATATCTCGCCTACGCCATAAGTGGCGCAGGTTGGCAAAAGCCAATCGAGCCTTCTGTATCCGTGCTGAGATTTCGTCAGTCACCAGGCCATCGGCACTGATGAGACTCCCAAGATAAGTGAAGCGATCAGCACGCTAGCTTACTTCACTCCATATCACTAGTTCAGGTGCCAATGCAACCCAGTCTTGAAGCAACATTTTGCATTTCGAGGGGGAAAACCGCATCCCGAACATGCTTGCATTATTGCTTAGGGTAGTCAGAAGACTCTGCATTTTGTCAGCGTCTTCACCAAGTAGGACAATGTCATCGGCATATTCTAAGTCAATAAGCGAGCCACTTGGTAGAACGTCTACTCCTGAAAATTCAGACGAGGATAATGGTATGTCTAGGAGCATGTCTATGATAAAATTAAACAAGAATGGAGAAAGTGGACATCCCTGACGGACACCACTTGCAGTGGAGAATTCCGGTGACAGTTCGCCATAAGCCCTCACTCGACCAGTGGTGTACGAGTAAAGGGCTTGTATAAGGTTAATGTACTTATTTGGTACACCTTTCAATGACAGGCACTTCCACAGAACCTCACGATCCACTGAGTCAAATGCCGCCTTAAGGTCCATGAAAACAACTATTGTCGGACGCCTAAATGTGTGTCTGTGTTCCAGGACCTGTCGTAGTGTGAAAATGTGGTCTATACAGCCACGTCCAGGTCGAAAACCAGCCTGGTTTTCTCGAGTCTGCTCTTCACGAGCTTTCGTTAAGCGTCGAAGTATTATTGAGGCCAGTATTTTAGATACTATATTAGTTAGACTTATTCCCCTGTGATTGTCACAAGAAGACTTTTGTCCTTTCTTATAGATTGGGACAATCAGTGATTGAGACCAATCGGATGGGATCACGTCCAGTTTCCAGATTCTACCTAAGATCTCAGTCAACCTAGCTGCTAAAACTGGACCATTATCGTTAAATATCTCAGGGGTAAGTCTATCAGGACCTGCAGCTCGTCCTCGTTTCAGATTTCCTAACGGTTTTTCAACTTCATTAAGACTAGGGGGACTTACGTCGATTTGCCATTCAGGATGACTGGAGATCGTGGGCAACCGAAGAGTGGCTCGTGGCCAGTTGAACTGATCCCTAAAGTGTTCTGCCCATCGATCCAGTCTCCTGGATTGAGAATGGATAATAAGACCATCCTTTTCCGAGATAGTCTCACTCACATTCGGGTTCTTAATACCAGTTTCTTTAATAAGGCGGAAAAGTTGCCTACTGTTGCCGATCGCCGCTGCCTTTTCCATCGCTTTTGCTTTCGCCACCCACCACTGTTCGCGGTCGTTACGTAGACTTTTTATAAGTCTGCACCTAAGCTGACTACGCTCTTCATCATGCTCAGAGTCAGGTGGGATGCGTTTTCGTGCATCCATCAGTTCGGTGGTTGCGACTGAAATCCACGGCTTCATCCTAGCCTCATGGTTTACCTTCCTAGCAGATATCACTGCTGTTTCCACAGCCTTTTTGATATCATACCAACCTGCTTCTGGATGGGAATCGCTTGCATAGTTGCTTAACTCTCTTTCTAGTTTCTCCTGAAATATTTTCTTGGTTTGATTATCATTAAGTAAAACCCTAAGAGGCTTTCTTACGGTGTCTTTCCTACGTCCAGTAAGCCTTAAACAGGTACGAGCTCGCACTAGAGCATAATCTGAATCCAAACATGTGCTCCAGAACGAGCGACAGTCTTCTATCAAACCCCTCCATCGGTGGCTGATGGCGATGTGATCTAGTTGAGTCCAACGTTGAGACGACTTCGGGGGTCGCCAGGTCAACAGATGCTTTTCCTTATGCCTAAAGTTGGTGTTCGCTAAGAATAGGCGGTTATCTGAGCATAGTTGCAACAGACGGTCGCCATTGTCTGTTCTCTCAGTCGCTACACCATAACATCCACCAAGATGTCTTTCCTTTTCACCTAGTCTACCTACTTGAGCATTAAAGTCACCAGCCATTATTACTATATCAGAGCGCCTAGCTTTTTGGAGGAGGTCCGAAAGCTTTCTGCAAAACTCATCTTTAACCTCGTCTGCACTGCAGTCAGTGGGGGCATAGGCAGATATGACGAAGAGGCAACGGCGAGTGTCCCTATCCTTCCGAGTCCTTACTGTCCCATTTAGTCGGACAGCGCACAAACGACTATCTACAGGGATCCAGTCTAGGAGAGATAATTCTGCCCTATGACTCAACGCTATGCCTACACCAGCAAGACCCCTGGAAGCAGCATCAGGGCTACCGGATACACGAAGAGTGAATCGGGCTGCTTCTTCGTTTTGACAAGGTGAAATCAGGTTAATGACTTTACTAGGATCCTGTATGCGCGTTTCCGAGACGCAGCATACATCGATGGCACGAGTTTCTAAAGTCCTAGCTAATGATGCCTGTTGCCCTATTTGACACAATGTCCGTACATTAAAAGCTCCAATATGTAGTCTAGAATGGGGTTTCAAGAGACCAGGAACGACGTTTCGTGATCTCGCTTCGTCTGCATTAGCGGTGCAGTGAGAAAAGGGAGTGTGAGTAGAGTCAGTCGAAGAGATAAGAGAGACATTAGGGGGTGTAGGAAGGATTTGATTTTGACCAATTTGGTCTCGCGTGCTGTTATGGGTATGAGGGCGGTTGTCACTTCCCGGCTGCCCACACTGTGGAAGGAGAACACAGGTGAGGGCAACTGAATTGTATTTATCGCAAATTACAGAGTTACTCAGTTAAATAGGAAAACCATATCGTAACTGTCAATTTGCAAATCTTCAATCCATCATCAATCCATTGTCTGACATTTCACTATTCATGCGTTTCACGCAAATTCCATTGTGTTCCCACTCTTCCTTTCTTCTTGATCTCCCCCCATCTTCTGCTGCCAGACATTACGTTTACACTCGCGTCATATACTACTACTTATAAGTAACGCGCACCACAACGAGATGTAGTCATCGCATAGCACACAGAACTGTTATACTCTTAAGTCAAATGCATTCTTCAGCTATAAGCATCAGATGTTTCAAGAACTCTTTCATTACTAAATAGCCTCTGTTTAGGTTTTATTTTCTGTTTATTTTAGGGGATTTTATACAAGTAGTTAACCTACTTAAAATTAATATTCTTACGTCGTAACGCTATCAAGTTTGAAAAACACTGCATACTAATAAATGGAAGAGACATTTAAATCACAAGGAAACTAAACTATGATTGGTTAACCGAATCTTATTTTTAATTGGCTTTAACAAATTATCCAATCCAAAATGTAGGTGACAATTCTGACGATATTGAATACTGAACAGAAATCATTGAACTGATTTTGCAAAACAATTAAACAACTTGATCACTTTCTAAAACCAAACAAACAAACAAAACAAAACCACATTATCGCTAAGAATGGAATAAACAATGTTTACTAACGGAAAGTTATTATTTTGGATGATAATTTATTTTCATATTTTAATGAATAATTCAACAAATGAAATAAATGCCAAATTCCATACCATCAAATCGACAACATTGAATCATGATGCTAACAGTGATGATGCTCAAATTACTACAAATTCTACAAATTCATCTGTTTCATATAAATACTTGTATAATAATTTAAAACATTATTTTCTATCATGGTATTTGCCTACAGTGATTATTTTAGGAGTTGTTGGTACAGTGTTCTGTTTAGTATTTCTATTTTTGTCAAGATTATTTCCACAGAATATGTTAATATGGTTGGTTAGTATATGTTTTGGTGATTTTTTTATACTTTCATTGGAAGGTATATGGATGTTATTAAAAGTTTGGTATAGTTATGATATACGTGATAATAATAACTTGATTTGTGTGTTACATACAAGCTTATCAAACTATTTTTTCTATTGGTCAGCTTATATGCAATGTATGCTGTCACTTCAACGAGCATACTCGATTATTAAACCATTGCGGGCTAGAAATAATGGTCTAAATATGATATGGCTTATTCGTCTATGGCTTCTAATATCTATCTGTCTTATATTCCCAATGCTTCCTTATCCAATCTACTGGCGAGTTATCAACGGTGACTGTGATCCTACAAATACAGATTTATTTCATGTTACAACGCTGAATGATTTCATTATCTGGGGTTTAATCCCACTCTTTGGCATGACATCATCTACAGTTATTATATGTTGGAATATTTTTCGATTGAGAAAATATTTTCGTGAAGCAACCTCTTCAGTTATTTTACGTGAAAATGAAAGACAAAGAAAATCTACAACGTCTAAGGTTACCGCATTGATTTATTACTTGAGACCAGATGATCTGTGTGATAATCTTCGGAAACGTTCGCATTCTCTATCGGTTTCAGAATCTGCACTTCATTTACAGACAAAAGCTCAATCTGAAACTTTATCTAGAATTTATAAACCAATGTCTGTTCGTAATTTAATTGATCAGACATCAGGATGCGGTTCAAAACGTAACAACTACACAGTCACAACACAATCAACAAATCCGTTCAATTCACGTAAGATATTTGCAACAAAGTGTAAAGCATTATCGGTTGATCAGATCACAAATTGTTTAGGACCTGTGAATAATCCAGGCTATCGGCATGGTGCAACAGATAATGCCGGTCATGTGACACGACTTTTGATATGTATGAATATTTGGTATATGGCTAGCACGTATCCATTGATTATTTATTTAATACTATTAAATTTTGTACTAACCAATGTTGATCGTGATGTTCACAAATTTATGTATTATTTATCAAGAAGTTTGTGCTTTTTAAATGCATGCTCGAATTGGATATTTTATTGTGCATCTGGACGATTATTTCGTTCTCGTATACGTCTAATGTTATTGCGTTTTATGTGTCGATTACGTGCTCAACATAAAAATCGAACTGCTGCTGTACGAGTACCAGCAGATTATACAAATCATTTCAAAAATCAATTTGTTTTGAATACATCAACAAATATTGAAAACAACACTTCATGTGTTAGTAGTTCATTCTTGAAATGTTTCACTGAGTGTAAACGAAACAATCTGCGTATGAATAAGAAGAAGATGAAGAAGCATACTAGTCATGAAATCAATAATATGATGATGATGATGTATCCAAATGTAGATTATATCGATGATTTCAGCGGAGATTTACTCGACAGTACACTTGAGACGACTAGTAAAAATCAAAAATCTAAAAATCAATTAAATACTAAGCATGTGACTAGTTGTATGCCTAATTCAACAGCTAATTATTCAAATAATTGTTTCCCTTTAGGTTATCAATGCTTTTGTAATTTATTTCCTTGTCCTGTAAAATCTTTCAATAAATCCACTGATAATAGAAAGCATCATTCATCTGTTAAACATTATCCAAACAGAGAAAAGTTCGAAAACGATAAAAAAAATGGTAGTGAAAAGAAACACTTCTTACTTGGATGTAATGGATGTTTTACAGGATTTTGTTGTTGGAGATTTTGGTGGTATGGTTTAATGGCTGGTTGTATTAAACATATACCAAACAACATTGAAACTGTCACAGATCAAAGTGATCAAAGTCATTCTGTTCAAGTGTTGACAGGTTTGTCAACTTCATCATCATTATATGATAATTATCATTTACATCGACGTCATTCAGAATTTGCTTTGAATAATCTTAATTATAAATATTGTAAGCATTATAGATCTACAGAGAAATTCCGTGATTTAGAGCCGAAAAAGAATAATATTGAATTGGATTTAGCCACTCAGAATACATTCAATACATCGACTAATCAAAATTTGAATGACATTGTAAACTCACATCCTTCTGATAAGTTATTTACTACTTCCAATAATACAGTTCATTCAATTTGGGGATCAGAAGCAATCATTGTTAATGTTAACAATTCTGACATTAAATTGCCCAAACAAGTCATTCCAAGATGTTTTTGTTATATTTCATCTCAAGGTAATCGTAAATTTAATTATAATTTATGTCAATATCATCGAAACTTTAATTCCTCTTGTCGTTATCATCATCATCATGGTCACAGTCAACATTTTCATCTATTGCATAATTCTCACTTACATTATCGATCAGATCGTCAAAATACATCTATAAATAATTGTCGAAAAATGCATCATTTACCATCTTCTTCTAATTATACTTTTAGCAATGTTGAAACGAATCGTTGCATTAAGAATGATAATAACATTATTAGTACTTAAAATACTGGTTTAGATCGACATGAATAATGAATATAACTGATTATGTTGAAACACAGGCTAAAAAGATGGAATGTTTTGTTGGTCGTAACCATATTTACCAGGAACAGAATAAAAAAAGGGGATTGGATAGGCGACTACTACTAGAAAATCTTTAATACACATGATAAGAATGATGAAAGAATGAAGCGAATTCAACTACATCATAGAAAATGATAATAGTTTATCATTGTTTGTGTTGGATAATTTTCGATTGAACATGTAAATAGTAACGATGATGTTGTATTATTTTTTATGAAAATTATCAAGATATATACTGACAATGTACAGCATGACATAACTCTTGTTTATTTTTAAAATGGCAAGTACTTTCTTTTTTTTTCAATTAAAATCATGATTCAAAGAACAGATATTCTATCATCAAAATGTTTAGTTGGAACTTTTTCATTATATCGAGCAAATGACCTTTTGTTTGAATCAAAATTAGTTTGAATAAACTGTCAACGAAAAAACATGGTTATAAAATATTGTAGGCCTAATGTGACTTTGAATAGTCGAGTAAAATATATGAGTTTGTGAGATTTCATGTGTCTTGATTTGAAAATTATTGAATGAAGTATGTTTAAGAAGTTGAGAGATTTGCTTGGTAGTTCTACTGGTAGCTAGCTCAATGAATACTCATCGATTCAGTTATATTAAAGAGTTAGCCAGACATGCAATGATTATAGTGTGCTTCTTAATGGAAATTTTACATTGATCTTAGTTTTTATGGGAACTATTTTCAGAAAGAAATGTAGGCCTTTTATTCTTTGGGAATACAATGAATCATAGTTACTTATTTAGTTACTTACGCCTGTGACTTCTAATGTAGCATAGATCGTTGACCAGTTTTCTCCAACCAACTATGTCCTGGAACTCTCTTCACACATCTGTCCAATTCTTGTTCATTCTTCTCATTTATGTCTCCATTTCTTAGGGTAATGTGTTCTTTGGTCTTCCACTTTTCCTTTTGCCTTGAGGATTCCATGTGAGGGTTTGTCTCGTGACGCAGTTAGGTGCTTTTCGTAGTGTGTGTCCTATCCACTTCCACCAACTCTTCCTGATTTCCTGGAATCTGGTTTGTTCTCTCCCACAGTATTTTGTCGCTGTTGGTGTCTGGTCAACGGATCCGGAGTATTTTGTGTAGACAACTGTTAGTAAATACTTGTATCTTCTGGATAATGGCTTTCGTGGTTCTCCAAGTTTCAACCTCATACAGTAGAACTGTCTTGACATTTATATTGAAAATTCTGATTTTGTTGTTGGGTGATAGTTGTTTGGACTTCCAGACGTCGTTCAGTTGTAGAAATGCCGTCCTCGCTTTGTCGATCCACGTTCTCACATCTGCATCGGATGCAACTTGGTCGTCGATGATAATGCCCAGATATGTTAAGGTGTTAACGTCCTCCAAGGGATCTCTATGAAGAGTGATCTGGTTAGCGCATATTATGTTGTATCGCAGAATCTTGCTTTTCGCTTTATGTATGTCTAGACTTAGTGCTGCTGAGAGTGTTGCTATACTGGTCGTCTTCTCTTGTATTTGTTGTTGCGTTTGTGATAGAAGAGCCAGATCATCTGCAAAGTCCAGATCATGCAGCTGCATCCTAGCTGCCTTTTGGATAACATGCTTTTCTCCAGATGTCGATGTCTTCATGATCCAGTCGATCACCAGACACTGGTCTTCACCTCGAATGAGTCTGTCAGTCATCTTCGTGCACGATTTTTCAGGTTAATCCATCATAAGAATTTCGCTCAGTAGTGTCGAAGAAGCCTCCATAGTGTTTTCCTATCCACGCTATCGAATGTTTTCTCGTATTCAATGAAGTTAATGTAGACTGGTGAGTTCCATTCAATTGATTGTTCCACAATGATCCGTAATGTAGCAATTTGGTCAGTACACGATCTACCCTTACGAAATCCAGCCTGCTGATCTCGAATTCGGGCGTCTACGTAGTCCGTCATTCTGTTGAACAACATCCTATTAAAGACTTTTGTTGGTATTGAGAGAAGAGTGATGCCTCTTTAAGTCTCACACTTGCTGGCAGATATTATTACTAGATTAAAATCTTCAGTTGTTCCTAATTTACTGCTGTATAACAAATACTCTAAAGAACATCCTTTAAAAATTACGAATTGTATTTAAATAATGTAGATCATGAAGATTTGGGATTGAATTTTCGAACAAATAATATTCTTTCAGGTGCATTCCTTTAATCAGCTTGGAAAACACTCTCGATCTGAATCATGTTTACTTATGATTCGAATTTAAACAAGTGCATGATATTACTTACTTACTTACACCTAATAAAACATAGGCTGACAACCCGAATTCTCCAACTAACTCAGTTTTATACATTTCTTTCCAGTTCTACCCGTTTACTACACGTTCTTTTCACGTATAATATTACTACTGATTAGTATATCAGCCTGATTAGTCTTGTTTTACTTCTCGGAGTTCTAGTGAGAAGACGTGACCAATGGAGTTCAACCCTGTCGGGTGTAGGAAGTAACAACCAAAGACAAATGGGTGAGGTCGCGAATAATCCCAACATCAATCAGAGTTAGACGTTAACAGCGTTGAATGCCTGCCCAGTGGTCCGATTGTTAGGCGTTCGCGCACAATACCGAAAGTCATGGGTTCGAATCCTGCAAGGTGCAGGAGTCGTGGATGCGCACTGTCACTGATGAGTCACATACCAGGATGAAACGTCCCTCTTTCAGTGCTTGCATGTTTCTAATGTTGGTCAGCTAACAATGATTGATTGATGATTTCAAATGTGTAAAAACACAAACCCGGAAAACTCTACCTTAAATAATATTAGTTAGAATTTATTCTTGAGTTCCTCTCAAATATACTTCATGCTAACATCATAAAATATCTGCCATGTGAAAGGAAGAAGAATATTATATTCAAATAATTTCATGAAATTTTTGTAAAAACAAATTAAAATCTCTTTTGAAAGATAAAGATCTCTCCTATTTTAACTAATAAATCAAAGAAAGACATCTCTCTACTATATTCTGTACACTTTTCAGAAACAGAAACAAATTGTCTATTTTAAAAATCAGTCTACCCTGTATTATCCTATTTCTTTTACATATTATATATATATATATATATATATATATATATATATATATATATTATATACTATATATACGGTGAAAAGTCATCGATGAAAAGTCGGGAACTACCAGCAAAAGTCAGTAAGTAATGTCGACAGAATAGAAGCTTATCAGACAGTAAATAAAATAAAATATCTGACATTATCAAATGTTATGAATTTCATTAAAATTCTAATTAGGCTTGATGAAATGTATAGTCTGCAACTTCAAATTATATAAAGTATCGAGAAATTTGTTTTGATTAGTACAAACACAAGAAAATAAATTATATTTCTTCAGTTGTATCATCAACTGTCTGAAAACTGTAGAAATTAAACAACTGAGTAATTTGAATCGCTTACATTTGATCTGTTAGTCAAGAGAAGAATTAAATTACCAATATACGTCTGGATAAATTACGATGGCTAACAAATGTAATTTTTCACGCTAAACATCAAGTTATACTCTGATAATAAGAGCGAAAAAAATAGTGTTTCTTAGAAAGAGGCTAAGGTAGATATAAGCATAAAAATGGGGTTGAGATTAGGTGATGAAAATATATAGCTTAAGAGGAGGGTGATATTAGTTTGGGATATAATATCCTTTTTAGAAAGATATGTTTGTGTTTTCTCTGCTCGATCTGTTATCGCGCCTAGCTTGATATGTACTACTGGATTTGATTTAAGCACAGATGATTCTTATTTTCATACAATTATGTTCAGTGCCTATTAGGCGAGAAAATGTGTCATTATTTGCAGACTTAATAACTCGTTTTCCTAACTATACGAGATCTTTGAATAGAATTGGTGGAACTAGCTTCATTGGAACATTTAAACTGGTATGGACACATTCAACAACCCATTATTAGTAAACTTCGTGATTTCAAATGACCTGTAGGGGATTTTTCAATTTCTGTCCATAGACTGTTATTGCTAGATAAAGAGTACAATACCTCGAAAAGTATGCAAAGAATGAATCGGATGAAATTCACTCTCACAGTCAATGGATCAATGGATCACACGTATAAATCATAGCAAATTATGGATTTGTTAAATGTTAGAGGATTTCAACTTAACTAACATTGAATAGTTGTATGATCAAATTAATGACGCAAGAGAAGAATCTTTGTCATACTATGAAAATCAGTTGTAACATTAGTGTTGTGAATAATTAATACTCTATTTACAAAGCCATACATCTGTGGTTGGTCTAGGTGAAAAAGAAGATTCTCACTGTTGGTCAGTTGTTCTGTTTATGTCTAGGGTTATATTTATTTGATGAATGCTTACACACAAATGTTGCTTACAAACCAGTTCTGTTTATAGCCAAGATTTCTATATTTTATGAAACAAACTGAGCCTAAGTTTTCTTGTTAAATGAACGGTTGCATATTTTTATACCATGAGTCGATCAATGTTAGACCACCATTAGAAACCTGGAAGCACTGAAAGACGGCCGTTTCGTCCTGGTACGGATGCCGGCCCAGTGGTCCGATGATTAGGCGTTCGCGCACAATACCGAAGGTCCTGGGTTCGAATCCTGCATTTATCAGGAGTCGTGGATGCGTACTGCCACTGATGAGTCCTATACCAGGACGAAACGGCCGTGTTTCAGTGCTTCCAGGTTTCTAATGGTGGTTTAACATTGATCGATTCATGTGTTCAAAAATGTGTAACTTAAAAATCTTCACAACCTCGTAATGCAAATGAACGGTTGATTATTCCCATAATTGAGATATACTCAGATTACAATGAAACTAATGAATCGTGTCGTCTTGAGATGAGTTTGAAAATTCGACTGGATTAAGAGGAAGCACATTATTTAATGTGTACATCTGTAAGTTTCCAAACCACATGGACAATTTAAACATGTCAAATGGTTAGTGTAAGAAGATGTCCAATAGTAAATCGAAGTTGATTTTTTTCGGAAATTATAATTCATTATTTCATTAGGAGAACATAATATTACGGCTAAAATATTGATATAGATGATTGAAAAAATCCTTATACGTTTTCATTATTTTAATGGATATATGGAGTATTCAGATTAAGCAAAGTGAAATAAATTCATTAAATCAAATAGTGTTTCTTTTATATTTAGACATGAAATA